ATTAAAAAAACAAAAAATTTTGTATTTTCAACCAAAAGATATTGCTAGTTCAATAGATAATAGTCAAGAGGGCTGCAGTTTGACAATTTTGAAATATGATCATACAAAAGTAAGAGATATGATAGCACAGTATATTGTAATTAATGAGAAACCATTTTCAATTGTGAAGTTTGAGTTTAACTTAGTTTTGAAATTAACGTTCTCTTTTTTTTGTAAAAAATTTGAGTAAACCTCGAAATGATGTTATGTTAGTGTATGAAAAAGAAAAACGAAGCATTGAAGAATACAAGTAAAACTAATTTTATTAGTTTATTTTATATATATTAATTTTATAATATTATGATGTTATCTTATTATAACCTTAAATTTTTTATTAAAGGAGCTATACTAGATCCACGAAACCTTAGTTAGAAACCTTGAATGAAATGTTAAATATAATTGACTAATTTGTTAATATTAGAAAGTGGAAGTTGTGATGTTACATATTAAATTCATTTACGTGCATTTTTACAACCTTTTCATGCCAGCACTTTTCCTGTATACACATTAGTTCTGCAATTTCTTGCTCCTTATTAACTACAATAAGGACAAGAAAATGATTAATTAAATTTCATCAAAGTATGGTGATTACTCCCTAGTTTTTTTGTGTCCATAAAATCTCTATAAATGGGGTCAGTGGAGTCTTCCCTCCTCACTTCGATATTGGATTTTACACGCCATCATGTTTGACGCGAGAGCTCCGAATTGCTTTGATGATTATGCGCTCTGAATGGCTCTTGAAGAATTCCAACCCCCTCCTTAGCCTCTTCCTTTCCCTATAAATGGAAAAAAAAAAAAGAAGAAGATGGTGGTTGTGAGGAAGAATAAACACAAGGAACATGCAATCAATTTGAACGATTAAGTTTCATCTTCTTTTGGGCCCACGATCAGCCAAAAAAATTATCGAGGGTGGACAAAGGTCAAGGGTCTTTGGCTCCTCCGGTGGATTATGCTCTAATCATTGAGGAAGAGTTTCATTGGGTTGATCCGATCACCCATTAAGTAGTTAGTATTCTGGAATAATTTGGCACAACAGTTATCTCCAAAGTTCCCCAACCCGAAGTGCAGAAGAATAATGCTTTTATCCAAGATTTACCCAAAACTTCCTCCGAATTAGGTAGGTTGTCAGGTATGATTGACTGGTTGTTTTTAATCTGAATTTCTCCTCTTTCACATTGTAAGTTGATGCAGGTCCAGATGTTGGGGTTTCGTCTCGTTCGGGCATTCGACTAATCAATATTGTTACCGACTCTATTTCAATTCTGACTGCGCTTCAACATTCAATCAAAGATATTCAACAACAGATCATTTAATCAGCTAGCTAATCTTTTTACTACTTTCCGAGGGATAGACGGTGGTCAACAGCAGTCTTTCGGGTCGTTGGAGCCTAGAGTAAATGAAATGGTGGATTCTTTTGAACGTGCAGCTAGAGGATTAAATAGTGATATCATTCGAGACCTGTAGGCTTGGGTCAAGAGGATGGAAGGATGAATGCACTTTCTTCATGAAAATATGGTATTTCTTTGGACAGAGCTGCAGATCGATCGAACACAACATCAGATTGATGAGGGGAACTATTTTAAGTTAGGCAGAGGGCTATTGTTTAAGTGGCTACTTAATCAAGGGCATGTCTTGACTCAAGTGGTCGAAGGTTTTTTTGTTAAATATTTCCTTTCCGAATAGTTTTATGTAAAGGTTTTGTAAAAAACTATTTGTTATATTTTTATGTTTTATTATTGACATGATGTGGTGTGACCTATGTTTTTCGACTTACGTCCCTTATTATAAATAAGTTAAAGAGCACCATGCTTGAGACTTTTCCAAATTTATCTTAACCCTTTCCCATTTTTCATTTTCCCTCATGGCTAGTAAGTACTCTCCAAAGGTTTTTGGAACTTACCTGGCAGTTGATTCTTCTGTCCTAACTGAAGATGACGTGTCGAAGTTGATGGAGTACGTATTCAACGATATTGTGAAGCTTCAGGCAGTTAGGGGTATCGATCAAGCAACAAGCAGGTGTGGAGATGATCTAGCGTTATACCGGGACCAATTCCCAGTCTGAGGCTAAAACTATGCACTGAGCTAAAGGGTGTTTTCAATCGATACAGAGTAGTTCCCACGCAAATCATGTCAAACTCAATCACCACGATTATGGCGTTCATCATCTTTTGCCACCACTAGGGCATATCATGATCGACTGACTTGTTTTACTATTTTTTTCATTCAAAATTGACAAGGATGGTCTCGCCCAATTTTCTGTCGGTTATAGACTGACTCCAAGTTTTGAGATTGGAGAAAGCAGTTTCTAGTCGAATCTTGCTCCTGCGGCTGAGGAATCAATGTCACCCCTTAGAATATGCTAGTGAGCAGAAGCAAGACGCTTCTGAAACATTTGGTGCCTAATGGAGAAAAAATTGAGAGAAAACCATTGTTCGTTCCGCAGTACACCAAGAAGAAGATTGTTGATTGGGTCGTGCGACCGGATAAGTTTGGTCGGATGACAGAGGATCAATGAAAGGCCTCAAATGTCAAAGAGGCTATCCATGTCAAGGAAGCAGAGGAGAAAGCCTCTAAGAGAAAACTATGAGGTAAGCTTGCCCTTTCAAACAAAGGGTAAATCCTAGGGGAATCTGGGAAGATGGTTGTCGTTAGCGCATATACTACAGGCGTTGGCCTTATTTTTTTCTAAATCTGAAGTGACTATTGTGATACAAAATGTGTTAACTGAAGAAATCACTATTGTTGCACAAAACCCAAAAAAATTTACATAAGATGCAGGTGAGGTAATCTGAACGCCATTTATACTGAGGTCGAGTGCCTCTGAAGGTGAAGCTTCAGGGAATGAACTGAGAACATCAAACATTCAGTCACCGATCGATACACATTTATCATCATTGCAACTGACTGATCGTCGTCCTCCTGACTCCTCATATCTTGATGTGCCTGCAAAGGCTAAAGCTAGACAACACTCTTCTATCGACCTGTCAGAGTTGTCATTCGAGAATTGAACTAAACCTACTCTAGAGTCAGTTCCTCTTCCTCTTGTGTCGATAAAGAATCACATCCCTCTAGTGGTGTGGAGAAAGAAAAAGCTCCCATGGGCGTTTTTGATGCTCCACCACCCCTTCTAAATGCCTAGTTCTTAGAATAGAAATTTTTTCATTGTTTAACTCTTTCACGTTTATTTGAGTATTGCGAGTTTTGACAATTCAACCAAAGCCTTTGATCGTTACAATCCAAGTACATATATGAATGGTCTTTTTCTAAGGCCTTAGATAAGTGTTGCTTAGGCAAGAATAGGTCATAAATCTTTGACATTCATCAAATGAATAATAAAATGTTGGAGGCATTTGTTTGGTTCCAGTCTAATATTCAATGAGGCTTGTGAGTTGTTTAGGGACCGTTGTGCCCTAGTAACTATGGATAGGAAATCACTTAAACTTTATAAAACATTTGATACCCCCAAGAGGAATACTTGGGAACCATTTTCAAAATGCTTCCTTAAATGTTGTGAAGAGTAGTTGACACTTAAAATCAGTTATAGTAAGAAACTTGTTGACTCAAATCAAGCACAAGTCCAACTTCCCTTTGTAAGCTTTCAAAATAGGCATTTTGAACTTTGGTGAAAGTTGAGACTCCATTATCTAACCAAAGAAGACATTATGTCAGCTTAACAGAAAGTTCCTTCGGATGAAGAGAAGATTATTATTTTCTAGATTCTCTATTCAATATGATGATGGTTATTCAAGAGAGTTTGATGAAGGGAAATAAAGTCGATGATGATGTGATATATTGATGAAGTTGCATTGTCAGAGAGGGTGAATAAGAGAGATATTTTAGTGGAAGAACTACAAAATTCCTTGCGTCCTTTCTGTAAGATGGCTTACCATTTGATTCAATTGCTTAGAAATGACAAAATGTTCTTGAACTCATATTTTCTTCTAAATGATTTATTGTATGAATTCTTGTCCTAGGCATCAATACATGCTTTTCGTTTCATAGAGAATATTACATCCAAACTTGTTCATGAGTGACACTAGAACTATACTAATACATATGGGTCAAGTTAAGGAGAAAAAGAGGAGAGATAAAAAGAACAAACGGATACAAATATTTTATTAAATTTCCATAAAGTACAAAATAGACGTAACTAATACCCTATTTACAGATTTGGATTAAAAGAAAATACTATAAAAAAGCAACTTTTGTCCAATCAAAATGCAATTATATAGCTTTAATAAATGTTTGTTATATAATGAATAAATTTAACTACCCTATAACTTTCTAATTATACTGAGGACTTATGATAAATTTGAAGTAAAAGCAGTAGTTTAAGTAAAGTAGCAATCGATTTCACCAGACAAATTCTAATAAAATCTAACAAATTTGCTTTGGGCTGCCGAGTAGCATTGCAACATGGGCAAATTCAGATTTTACAGAGCAGCATTGAGAACCTCAACTGATCTTGATACCATATACGAAGTCCCTTTGATTAATTCAAAGAATCTCGGTATCAAGTAGCAATTTTCTAAATTTCTTAAAGAATATGACAAATAGCTTTCCCGAATTGATTTTCCAGGTGAGATCACTATGTACTTCGAAAACTTATTCCATATGGCGGATTAATCCTGTTTAACTGATCGACTTGTTTTGTACTCTCTTTATCATGATCACAATACCTATTTAATTCAACCTATGCCACATTAGATTTAAAAAACCAACTTAAAATAGTTAATTATGGTTGAAATACTGAAACACAGTTATTAAGGTTATTACGAGTAAAATATCATTTGATTTGAGTAAGTTTCCTGAAACATCTAAGTTTGCAGAAAGAAGAGAAGAGGTTAAGGAGACGCGTAATTCTATTAACCTATAGCCGGCACCTCCTCCATGGAAGAAGCTCGACAAAGCATAAAAAAGAAGAAAGAAAAGGGAAAGCAGAAGAAACTAGGGCATCATACCATCTTTGATTGGCTCAATGACAATGACCAACGGAATTAAGCAACCTAACCTCACCCACGTTGCACCTCTCCTAATCTTTCTCCCATCCACCGCCTTCCCCTCCCTTTGTTGGCGTCTCCTCCCGCTCAGCGCTGGGTACGTCAGGGTTCTTCAGGGAAAGGGTTTATACCCCAACCTACCTATGAAATTACATGAAATTATGGAAGCGCGAAACTCATTTATATGTTACAGGTAATTTATAAAGAGATTACAGAGAAATTATAGAGGGGTATAACCCCGATATAGCACTCCTATATCCCCTGAATAACCCCTGGACGTACGCATCGCTGCATACGTCTTATGTGCACAAATATTTTCCTTTGCACTCACGCCCCTCCCTCCAAAATTTATTTGCGTACAGAGCGCTGCTTACTTTGTTACTGGGTAGAGAAGGTTATATGTGTTTTATATCCTTATCCTCTCTCTAATCTAAGGGTAAATAAGTTTCGTGTTTCTGTAGTTCCGATAGGTACAGTTAAATTATAGGAATGTTACAAAAGAGTATAATATAGATGTAACCCCCTTGTATCTTCTGAATAACCTCTGACATACGCAACGATGCATACGTCTTACATATGTAAATACCGATCTCTCCCTCGAATCTCACTCAACACGATTCGCTCTCGTCGTCTCGCTCCTTATGAATTATATTTTATTTATTTAGTAATATTGTTGTTTTATAAAAAAATTTACATTTCTAACATCTGAAATTTAATATATGCGTTTATAACACTTTTTTGTTATAAAACTCTACACATTTAAAAAATTAGTAAAAATTTAATAATTATGATATTTTCTATTTAATGTTAAAGATTTGGATATTATGCACGTAAGAATATAAATTTAGGAATATGATATGTAACTATATAAAAATTGTTTAAATTATCATTAATAAATATTAAATTAATTAGGCTTAATTAAATTTCAAAATTTAATCATTAATAAATATAAATCAACTTATAAACCAATTATAATTTCTTACAGCTTCACCTAACAATTTATATGTAGCCAAAACAAAATTACGTGTAAACATATTGCGAATATTATTAACGCCCATATATATATATATATATATATAAGAAAATCGGTATTTGGGAGAGGTCCAAATATCGATTTTTCATGTTCTAGGCCCCATAATAAGAATCTACGTCATGTGCATAAATATTTGAAAACTGAGCACCACTGGGGATCGAACCTGTGACCTGAGGGGACTT